AAGCAATCTCTAACAACAAAGCTATCTCATTCACAGTTAGCCCAAAAAGCTTGATAAAGAGAGATTTCTAAACTCCTTATCCAGAAGCAAACTTCTCCTCCTTCCAAAGAGCTATAGTGTAAACACTTGAAGGTTTCCTTGCCTCAAGTACCACACCACGTTGAAGGATACAACTTTTGATCAAACTTCTTGATTGAAAGGGGGTAGGTCAACTTTCTTACAAGTTGATCTTGCAAGTCCTATTGTTCGGACGTTGCAGTTGTTGAAGAAGCGTGACCTTCGAAGGAACAACAAAGCCAGCACGAGTGCAGTAGCAACATTGGCCTTGCGAAGATATACCGTGCAGAAATTCACACAAGTGTAATTGTTGGTTCATTATTCAACAACCAACTACATAGTGGATTTTGAGGACGTAGAAGGATTACCCCACCTTCGAACCTCGTTAAAGTTTGCGTGTCTCTCTCCTTTATCTTTACTCTTACTTGCAATTATATTAATTGTGAAAACTAACCCATCCATATTGATTACTGCTCACTCTACCCACCAAATTCCGCACACAATCTAAAGTTCACAAGGACTATAGATTAACACTCATTTTCACGTTTTCAAAAGAAACGAAAAAGTTTTAAATTTGAAACAAAGTCTATTCACCCCCCCCCCCTTCTAGACTTTGTATCTCACCACTTTGGGACCACCAAATGACTACTCTTTTGACAACTTTATGTGTGATTTAGTAATGGAGTAGTCTTGGGTTTAGCACCATTCACTCTGAATCTAGTCAACACTTTAATGTACTACTTCTGAGATAAATTGGATCTATTCCGAGAAATCCACATCCTTATAATGCACCCAAATCTTTTATCTCAAACACGAAAGACTGGCTTGCTTTCAGATAATTTATCTCCTCGTACTAGATTCTACAATCAACATATCAAGCACATAGTAGAAAGACATAAGAATATGTGTATTTCTTGAAGTAAATAACAATGATAATCATTTTCACTCTCGTGAAAACTGCTCTTGCACATGGAGAATTCAAACTTCTTGTACTATTGTTTCACTGCTTGCTTCACCATATACAAGTTTCTGTAAAGGTTTTGCAAATTATGTGTTAGTTGCCCGAGATTTAGGCACGTTCCTATGATTTTTTAGACTCGGGGCAAAAAAAGGGTCTTACCCAGAATTACTAACTAAAAGTTATAAATACTTTTTTGATTAAAATTGAAATGCAATTAATATAATAGTAAAGGTTTTGTAAATAAAGAAAATATAAATAATAAAAGAGATTAAAGTACCCTAAGTGACACTAGTTGAGAATTGTGTCGGTGACTTGATATTGAAATGTGTGAATATAGTATTAGGCCACGCAGTGTGCATGACGGGAAAGAAGAAGGGGATGCCACCTAGCGCAAGAAGCTAGAGAAGGGGAACACCGCCCCCCCTCTACGAGAACGGGAAGAGCGGGAACCCCTCCCCGTTTTTCCTGTTGGGTTGAAACGGTCATTTTTTTTAGAATTAGTCGTTGTAACTTTAAAAAATTCAGAACTTTCCACTATTTAAACTCAACACTATACTCATATTTTACCCACACTTCACATCCATTTCTTTCA